ACCCAATGAGCACGTGAATCCTGAGTTGCTGAGTTCATAATTCATAAGCCCAACAAAGCGCAAATTTCAGTTGTAGGGAATGGTGTAAGTGTAAAGCGCATTCAATTAGCTACTAAGATTCAAGAAGTTGGTAGCACGCTGTTCCACCACCTTCGTAGGCACCTTGCGCTCACCTTCCGGAAGCTGCTTCACTTCGTAAGTGGTCAACGAAATTACATGGGTGATGCTCGGCACCGTGGAGGCCACGGACAGGGGCAGGCCCAGCACAGCACAGACGGGCAGCGTGAGTGCTCCCCGAACGAACCTGAGCCCGTTTTAAGGATAAAAAACAAATGGATCCCTTTTTTCTGGACCTCTTGCTAAGATACTAGGAAACCCGAAGCCCGAAAAGTCAACAGGATCCCTAACGTATCCGAGTTGCAAGTCAAGGTGATAAGCAGCAGGCTTCTTCAGATTGTTGGAAGGTCTATTCACGATCACAGAGGTGAGATTCTGATCCAGGTAACCCAAGACTGCGAAGCCAATAGCCTGGGTTGTGCTTGAGGCGACACCAACTACGAATATGTTCTCCCTACAACCTCACGCAGCAACATCAACAAGAGACCACAAGCATGTCCTCTGATCATCAAGCCGCCGGAAGGATCGCATAAGCAATACCCCAAGCTGGGAAGGGGCGGTCCATGCCGGCGGGATTGATGATCCACGGCCGCTTGCTGCCATCGGACAAGCTCAAGTTGGGAGAGAAGTCCGCGTCCACCTGCAACATCCTCAGGCCTGTGTCGTTCGAGTAAATTGCAGCCAAAGCGGAGCCACTTAGCAAAGCGATGGTCACTGCGAAATTGGCCGCAAAGTTGCGAACGAATCGGAAAGTCCAGGGGCTTCGGCGGAAGCTGGACAAGTATGTTGCTAAGCCAAATGTCCAGATGAACAAGAGGGCTTCAAACATGCAGTTCGTCAGCGTCAGCCTGCTTTCCGTGAAATTCTCGATGATTGGCCGGGCTCCGTCGATGATGAAGATGAGCGAAATTAATCCTAGGGTGTCCAATAAACTCAATTACTTTTTCAGGTTAACCATATAATTATATCGCAATCGGAACCCAGAATATCAAAACCAAAGCTGCAGCACTGCACAGGCTAGAATCCTGCGAAGATGTCTTCGCTGAACATAGTCACGTGCTTCATGAGCGCACACAAGTCGAAGACCGCCACGAGGACGGTGAAGAGGGAGCACCACATGCATGTCCAGAAATAAAACGGCATGAACTCCATGTCCACGGCAACTGCCAGGTCATAGACGACAAGCGTGTAGGCCAAGAACGGACCGGTAGCACCCAAAATGGAAAGGGGCTGGCCGGAAAAGGTCGAGAAAATCAAACCACTGATGCATGTGCTCATAATCATTTCCATCACTCCGAACTGGCCGTTCGTGCCGTCAAGGAACCGACTGCCGAACGTAATCGCAGGGGCAAGGGCTGCGATGAACCTTACCGCCACGACTGGCCGATACCCTAAGAGAAATGCTACACTTCCCGAATAGCAGGGCTTTATGCAACTTAGAAGAATTCAAAAAACTTCAACGGTCTGCATATTGCAAGACAAAAAACAGATACAAGATGGACGATACCGATTTTTGGAAATTCTCCGGTTGGAAGGCATCCGTCCAATCACTGCAATACAGCGGCGCCCGCCTGCGGATGTCGAGTCGCAAACCCCCAGCCAGTTTTCCGGTGAAGTCTAAAGGACCGTAATCCTTCTTGGGAGCATGCGCGATGTTTCCGGACTCGTAGCGGTACACAGCCTCGGCCTCTGCCATGACAGTGCTCTTTGGGCTGAGGGAAGCGAAATTGTAGGACTGAGCCTCTGTGCCGAAGGACCTCGAGCCCAAATGGCAACGTGTTGGCCATGGGCTGGTGAGTGTTGCGACGTTGACAGGAAGAAGGCTAAGCCTCAGAGCACAACAAAACTGCACCTGAAGGGACGTTCTGTGAGGTAACTGCCCGGGTGCCCGTATGGAACATAGCGAAACACTCCTGTCAAACCATATAAAATCTTATCAACCGCTGTCTTATGGCGTCCGACACCCGTAAGTATGCTGCATGAACGCTAAACCCATGGACCTGAATGATGAAAACAAAGCTTTGGGGTGGAGCCCTCACATGAAGTTATTTAAGCCTCCCTAAACCCTAAATCCCAAACTGCCGAGAGCACCGCTGATCATTTACATGGGCGCTCGAGGCTCCGACCGACCGAGGCCTCCCGGTATATGGGGAACTGCAACGACGACCCCCCGCTTTTGACCTTGCAGTCAGGCGCTAAACAAAGGCCCCGAATCTTCAGCCATTGGCGTCGCTTGTGTTTGTTCAAAAAACTAGTTATGTTCATCAGGCAAGCAACATGTCGCAATACATGACAAACAAGGATCATGCTGATAGGCCTCCCCGGCGTCTGTTTCAAAGACGAACGCGCCCTCTTGGGGTCCTAATGCCACCCCCACCCGGCCAACGGTGGGCGGCCTCGCTCTGTGCAATGCGTTTACTCTGGGATGGACCCCTCCGAGACCAGTAAACACAAGGACATAGTGCTGCCTTTCGAGTTCGTCATGCAGCGAGGATGGCATGCCGCAGGTTGCCGATCTGGCGGCCATGGTGATCCACACCATTGGCATGGCTATGTAAAACCTGCATTACAGACGACAGTCAGTCGTGGTCTTGTCCTGCATTGCACGGAGCGCTCATAACAAGGCGGCCCGGGTAAGTGACACAGCTTCAGAAGACATGCACAAGCTCACAGTCAGAACATGGTTGGGCTCAATCTCTGTCGATGACAATGACGGCCAATACGTGTCTTAGTCCTGACGTCCTGATTATCCAAGCATCTCGTGTGTTGGTTTTGATCCTGAACTTGCCAACCATCTCGTCTCGTCGTGTCTTGTTGATCCTGAAATTGCCAAGCATCTCGTCGTAATTTATGATCTTGAACTTGCCAAGCATCTCGTCTCGTCGTGTCTTGTTGATCCTGAAATTGCCAAGCATCTCGTCGTAATTTATGATCCTGAACTTGACAAGCATCTCGTCTCGTCGTGTCTTGTTGAATTAGTCCTGAAATTGCCAAGCATCTCGTCGTAATTCATGATCCTGAACTTGCCAAGCATCTCGCCTCGTGGTGTCTGTTTCCGGAACTTACCAAAGAATCTCCTGAGCCTGTTTCTCGGCGGTGGGTCACTCTCGGCTTCATGACATCAGACCAAAGTTCGGATCTTTGAGGTCTGTGTCAGTGACAATGACAGCTAATGCCGATAATGACGTTATTGACAATGACGGCTACGGCTGAAACAAGCAAAAAACGACGACGACTTTCCTGAGTTTATCCTTCGGCCCCATGACAATGACGACTCCAGACGTATTCGTCGTGTTTTTGGGTGATTTGAGAAAACTCTCGGCCCTCGGCTCTTTGACGACCAAAAACAAAAGCCACTAAAGCCACCCCTTAACAGCCAGCCAATAAATATAAACACAAAACGAATTTCGCGGGGTCAAGTGCCGGTGTCGGGATACGCTCTGTTGTGAGCCATCCGGGTTCTCTGTGCGCCCAATGGGCTCGATTTCACTCAAAATCGTCACTCATTGATTTGCGAGGTAGATGTTTACACTTCGGGCACCCCTCACAAGGCGCGATGGGTGGGTTGTTTGCCATGAACCTAAGAGTACCGGTATGAATAGTTGGGGGGAGGTTGCTCGGTAACCGTTGCCTCCGGGCTCGCATCCCACTCTCGGACAAGCTAAATCTCGCTGTTGTGCCAGACTGGAAGACCCAATCCGTTGGCGATCCGGGTGGTCGGACAAAGAGAGCTAGAAAAGGTGGCACAGTGCGAACAGCACGATCGCGCACAGGTCCACCCTGGGCCACATGCAGCTCACAGGGGGAAGACATCACAAACCCCTCATAGTGCATTCGGGCACACAATCGGTTGGCATAGCTCGCCATTCCGTCCAGCAGCTGCATTAACTCATCAGCTGCAGTGAACAACTGTAGCAAAGAGAACGACGAAGGGAGGGCGGGCGGGCTTTTGGAGGTGAAACCTGCAATGCCCCACACGGGGTCCACACACTCAACGAAGCACAAGGCCTGCGAAGCAACATTGCAAGACGCCGGGCGGTGGTTTGGAAAGTGCGGCCCGCAGGCCTACTGATAAGTGGGTGCGCCATTCCCAAAGAACAGCACCCTATAGTAGCACCTATACAATCCCAATAATAAGCTCCATAATTCATTCCCCCATTCCCTACTAAGAAATCACGCGACAAACCCCAAACCTTAAAGCCTGTCGAGCAGCCCGCCTGAGTGCGCTCTCCGCGACCTAGTCCAGGCCAGGAGCCCCACAGCGGTAGCTGAAGCGAACAGCACCTCCGAGGCTTTCAATGCCGCGATTCTCTTTGCAAGGGGGTTGAGAGTTTGGGATTGCTTTAAGGGGTTCAAGGTTTGCGGCTCAGGACTTTGGATTTTTGTTGTGGGGCTTAGTGCGTTTATGGCAAGTTATGGGATAGGGTTTGCGTAGCATACTGCTTTCGCGGATGGGCCTTCGGGACAAGTGTCCAGGGGACGATATGGTTATTTAGGCCCCTATGTTAGTCAGGGGTGGGGTTGTGAGCAACTTAAGCGATACAGTTATACAGTTGCAAGCAGGAGTCAGCAATTGCTAGATCTGTCACATCTCACTACGTTTACGCCATGAAAAGCCACCCTATTAAACCCTGAACCCTAAACCCCTAAACCCTTAACGCCTAAAACCCTAAAGCCTAAACCCCTAAACTCAACTCTCAACCCTAAACACCTAAACCCCGCACCCTAAAGGCACGGACGTCTGAACCCCAACCACTAAAGCCAATACCCAGGCCCTGGATTTCTGGACTCTATGCCGACACCTGTATCCCCTTACATATTATAGCCCTTGTATGTAAGTAAAGTCGAAAACACACCGACATGGTATTCAAAAACTTGAGGCCTCAAAACTCAGAGAGTTGCGACCCACTCCCTCCCCCCCAACTCTCCTCCCTTCGAAAACCCGTCTCCCAAGACACCAGCAGAGAGATCAAAGTGACGACGCCCGCGACCGGCGAAGAGGAAAGGATTCCGGAGTGATCATAGGAGATCGGAGCCTCGCTGTAGGGATTCGTAATGCCAGTGGCGGCACCACTTCTTGGGATTCAGGGCGGAAGTTGCGGTTCAAGAGTGAACGAGTCTAGGAGATTGCTACGACGCTAGATTGAGAGATCCATGAGCGCGTGGACATACACCAAGTTGGCTACTACTGCTAACATTACCATTACAAATCAACATTATGTCTCGCCTTTCCTGTTCCACACTCCTATTGCACCGGCTAAGGGTACCCGCTAAGTGGTACTGTCAATACATGCGACTGCTACCACCACTTCTAGTGACTACTAGTAGCGGCTACTGCCACTGCAACACTGGTGCTGCTGCTGCTGCTGCTGCTACTACTACTACTACTACTACTACTACTACAACTACAATTACAACTACAACTACAACTACAACTACAACAGCAACTACTACTACTACTACTACTACTACTACTACTACTACTACTACTACTACTACTACTACTAGTACTACTACTAGTACTACTACTAGTAGTACTACTACTACTACTACTACTACTACTACTACTACTACTACTACTACTACTACTACTACTACTACTACTACTACTACTACTACTACTACTACTTGTCAAGTTAGACGTAGCAGGCAACGCGCCGCAAGATAATCTACTATAAGACAATCGAATCTAGCATAACAAACTGCAATCTGACATACTATATAACCTCTACATACTCTATACTTTAGCACACAAAACACAGTCTAATGTAATACTATAATGCACAAAACAGAGCATAATGTAATACTAAGGTCGGAGCAGTTCTGAAGGCATAGATGCCGATGGGCAAGCCTTCGAAGGAGTTGCCGGCCTTGTCCTGCACCTTGGCTTAGGCTCGTGGGCCACGACAGGCAGCATCTGGCGTTGAGCCATCTACCTGACACATTTGGGGGTTTCCGAAATTAGGGGTACCGCATTTTGGGGTCCTTCTAATGAGGATCCTACTGTTTAGGGTTCTACATTAGGGTCCCCTATTTTCGGAAACTCCCATTTCCTCCCCTCAAACAAGAAACATTGAATTTGTATGGCTACAGCTTCGGCAAAATATCCGAAACGATAAAGATGCATGATGCAACAGAGCTCGATTGCGGGCTGATGTGCCAAAGCTGCTTTCCTGCAGCGCAGCGCCAACAAGAACCCTGAATTCCAACCCCTAGCCCCAGACCCCGAAAAGCAGCCTGAACCGAAACCGGCAAAAGCCTCCTTCCCCCCCCTTCCAGGGAACAAACTACACCGTCAACCCACCGAAACTGCAGCCGCTGCGCCAGGTCTGGGTCTAGACCGAGAGAATACATCGCGTCATGTTTCCTCGAGGCTTTGCGGAGCCCAGCGGCACGATCGAAAGCTTGTAATGGGGGCTGTAATAATTAGAATAGGGTTTTGGGCCCTTGTGTAGTATGATTACAATAATAAGGAACCGCAAGCATTTGGGCTTCTGTAGTAGGGCTTTGTTGAACCAGTTCCAGCCGCTTTCTAGAAGGTACTGTATCGGGCTTCGCACTGTGAGGAGTTCGGAGGGTTTGAGGGCTTTGCGGTTCGGAAGGATTCCCAGAAATCCCAATACCCCTTAATTAAGGAATATACCTTAACTTATAATAGGATCTCAAATATGATTTAAGGTATATTCCCTAATTGAGGGATATTGGGTTCTCTGGGTTTTGCTATGAATGCTCTCAGTTTCCACTTTGTGTTTACAAGGATCTTTCATTACAGACAGATCTTTTACGGCGGTTTAGATGGACTGACTCACACTTTGGGCACACAACAACAACCACCATTACAACCCGAACCACCTGCAACCAGCGACAGCCAACAGCAGCATAATCATCCACAACAGCTGAGAAGAGTAATATTGAGAAGCATAATTTCAGCGGGCGAGACAAAAAAAACAGGAGTGGCCCTCAGGGCGCAACGGCGATTCATAGCCACTGTGGTGGCAGAAGAGCGGCTGTGCATCTTGAAGTTTAAGCTTGTCTTGGTTTACGGCTTGGCTTGGGCAGCCAGCTTTGAAAACGCAAAGCAAGTTCATACGTACCTGTCAGCACGGCCAGGATGCAATAAATCTAGCGGTCTGAACTACTATGATTGTTTTCCTGCACATTCCTTATTTCTGTATAGTTTAATGTATCCCCAAACCCCAGTCTAATTATTCTTCAAGCTTAGGCTAGAATAGAACCCTACAAAATCTGATAGAAACCCGATGAAATCCTAGAAAAACCCTGACGAACCCCAGATGAGGGTTTGGGGGTTAATAATTAAGCCATTACTTAGCCTAATAAGGCCCCGGCAGTAGGCCCCCGAGGTTGACTTTCAGCGAGACTGCGTCGAATCGAAGACGAGGCGACGCGGCCTCGGCAAGAAAGCTTCGGGACCCCTTAAAGCCTAAATCTTGAACCCTAAACCTGAAACCCTAAACCCTGAATTCAAACCCTTACGGCCGAATTCCTGAACCCTAAAAACCCAAATTCCTAACCCGAAACCTGTAAATCCGAAGACCCTCAAGCCCTAAGAGCCGGAAAACCAGCTTTTGGATCTGTGAAGGAGTTACTTGAGGAGGGCTAGAGGTTTGGCAGGACATTGGGTCTTGGGGCGCTTTTAGGGTTTTAAGGGTTCAGGCTTGGGGGTCCGGGGCTGAGTTTAGGGATTCAGGGTTTAGGGACACACTATCTCGTCGGCTTTGCTGGAGGTGTGGGGACGGCTGAGATGTAGGGTCAACGCGGTGTGGGCCGAGAAGAAACAGAAGAAGGTGTTGCGGCATCATAGGCAAAAATCAAGAGAGGTGCCGGGGCCTTTGCAGCAACAATATGGCTACGGGGTTCGGCTATGGCAGGGACAATTGGTGTAATATCGAGGCCTTGCAGTTCATTAGAATAGGGTTTGGGGCTACATTAATATATCCCCTTCATTCGCCATCAGGGAATACCAATACTCTTTTCTGATTTTTTGTCGGACCTCTGTATTTCGTATAAATACACAGCAAGACTGGAGGCTTGCAGAGTCGATGACCTTAGATCTTGCTACGATCCTTACTGATGTGTGCACCTACACCTGGAAACTCATAGCTCACCTAGCACTCCAGACTCCAGCTACCTAAGTAGTGGGATCGATATATAACATTATGTAGCCCAGTCACCCATTATTTAAGTAACTGGAGGTTCAGGGTTGTTTCACCAAGAGGCAGGGAAGCTGGCCACCAACTCATCTGCTGGTCCCTCTGTGCCGTAGCTTCCCAGTGCAAGCAGGGAGACAGTCCTTGCACGGGGATCAGGTGGCACGGTCTACTACGCGGGGATTGGCATCCAATTGATATGGTCTACATTATCTTGCCGTGAATTGTTTCATGTGTCGTATGTCACTGCCACCTCACCATCATAGATACACCAGAAAAAGCACCCTCTGGTGCTGGTGTTGATGCTGTTGCTGTTGTCGTTGATGTTGTTGCTGATGTTGATGGTGATGTTGCTGTTGTTGTTGATGCTGTTGTTGATGTTGATGTTGATGTTGCTGTTGCTGTTGCTGTTGCTGTTGCGTCGGCGGCGGCGGCGGCGGCGGCGGCGGTGGTGGTGGTGGTGGTGCTTCTGCTGCTGGTGGCAGTGCCGGTTCCCGCAGCGGTACGGTTGTGCTTAGCTTTGCTGTCGCTGCTGTTGCTTGTCATCCCAAGTCAACCTTCGGTACTCAACCGTTACTCGGTTAGCCCCACGGCGCACAGCGAAGGGTCGGGTGCGGATTTGGTCTTCGAACCTCAGCCCCAGGTTTTTGGGTCTAGGGAGGGCTTGCGTTCTCTTGTGGTCGAGGTATCGAAACTCCTCAATTCTGTGCATGTTGAACTTCAGACACGGCACCGGTTGAGAAGCCCGAGATCGACTATTTCGCTGAATTTGAGTTCGACCTGCGCGTCGAGCGGAATGTTCTGAGCCTGCAGGAGGAGAGTTTTCTCAAAATGAAAAGAGCGGTAGAAAACTCTTTGAAACAGAAACCGCAAGCCCCCCAAACCCAAGCCCTGAACCCCTTAATTGTAATTTTGAGAAGGAGCCCTAAGGAATAATGTTGGTACATATTCAGGCTTCTACATTATGCCCGAACCGTGATCCCCTGGACCTTCTGCCCTGCTTCGCACGGCGATCGGGGGAGCGAGCCGACTGTCGACCCAGCTGATCTTAACTAGAAAATATAGGGCTCCTTTTACAGGGATCTATAAAGGTTCCATTACAGGGCCTTCTTGGCTTAGTGTAAAGGGATCTATAAGGGCCCCATTATGGGGCTTTTGAGGTTTAGTGTAGGAGACATAAAACACCTGAGTTAAGGGTTGCGTTAGGGCTGTATGGGGTTGAAGTATAAGGCATTTATACGGGACTTCTTGTGTAGGGGCATGAGGGGCCATAGTATTTCAAAGGTTTTTGGGGAACCACAACTCAAGCTCTAGAGGAACTATAAGGGGGTACTATGACTGATCCCCCACCGCTATGACAACAGTACCCCCAAGGAATCCCTCAAGTTCAACATGCCTTGAGGAAGGAAACAGCAAGAGCAACTAGAGCGGCAACGGCAAAAGCAGCAACAAGAGCGGTGGTGGACTAAATAAGCCCAATATGCATACACAACCCATGCTCCAGCTTTCTTGCGAGGAAGTGGCCGAATTCTCCGGCACCCAGGTCTGTAACGTCGGCGCCACCATGTCACCGATCAGGTAGATAGGGGAGCTCCATGAATCGGCCATAGGAATCCAGTTTCTGAGTGCAGGGCTATTATAGTGGGGCTTTGGGAAGTTGGGGTTTCGGCTAGAGGAAGATTGTACGGATGCAAGTGTGCTCCACAGTGGCTGGGGAGCTACAACATGCCAATGCTACACCGCATGGGGGGGAACCGGGATCAAAAGTTTGCCCAGTGCGAACATGCTGCTCATCCACCACGGCGCCTTCCAGAATCTTCAGCCAACAATATCCTCGTCTCAGACTTAAAGGCTTCGTGTCTGCAGATTGGGAACATTAACTGTTGCTGCTTGAAAACTGGTTGTTCGACCGCACTGTCGCCGGCATGCAGCGTACACTCGGACCCTGAAGTACAGGGCCGCTGAAATTCTAACATAGAGTTTTGGATGCATGCACGGTAAGGAAGGGGATGTCCTTCCTAATTGCCATAATACTGCAGAGCAAAACCGCATAATAGAACCCTTAGAGATCCCAGTGCCAACCGCGATATTCGTCTATCCGAGGCGCTGAGTCTGAGCGGATTAGGCACTTTCCGAGCATCCAGGAAGAGTGTGTCCTGAAGTTGCGTTGCATCAAGGAAAGTCCTAAACGATTACCTCGACAACACCTGTCCTCTGCTGGATGACCAAAACTCAACACAATCTAGCGACGCATATGCTGACAACTGCCCACAACAAAACCCATGGTGACAAGGACGCGCGCGAAAGTGCTACAAACAGTATGAGGATCCAGGATGCTGCACTATCCGAAATGCTGCTACTACCACAAATACCTGCTGTTGCTGCTGCTGCTGCGGCTGTGACTGACTCTGCGGCTGCTACAGCGAAGTACTAATAATGATGCCGGGGTTGGTGGTCCAACTCCTCCAGCCTCCTCCTCCTCCTCCTCCTCCGACTATACTACTACTACTGCTACTACTACTACTACTACTGCTACTACTACTACTACTACAACTACTACTACTACTACTACTACTACTACTACTACTGCTACTGCTACTACTACTACTACTACTACTACTACTACTACAGCACTACTTAAGAAAACATTGGATTAAGAAAATGGATTTTGGGGTTGGTAGGGTTCTACATGAAATACCAAGCACTGTTAAAATAAGAAAACCAGGGTACCCTCGTCCGCGAGTCTCATTTTCTTATTTCGTTCTGTCATACTAGTGCGCGTAAACTTGGCCTGTGCTGTATGAGGGGTTCCATACATCAGGGGCCTTTGCCTAACATCCTAGCCCTAGTACTTGGGGTGTCCTAGGCACTTCGTGCCTTGACCCTGCTGAAGTTTCCCCTCCAAGGCTTCCAAGCACGGTGGGTTCTGGAACGAAGGAGAATAAGAAAATGCCAGAGTCTCGTTTTCTTATTTAGGTGGGTTCTGGAACGAAGGAGAATAAGACAACGCCAGAGTCTCGTTTTCTTATTTAGGTGGGTTCTGGAACGAAGGAGAATACGAAAATGCCAGAGTCTCGGTTTCTTATTTAGGTGGGTTCTGGAACGAAGGAGAATAAGAAAATGCCAGAGTCTCGGTTTCTTATTTAGGTGGGTTCTGGAACGAAGGAGAATAAGAAAATGCCAGAGTCTCGTTTTCTTATTTAGGTGGGTTCTGGAACGAAGGAGAATAAGAAAATGCCAGAGTCTCGTTTTCTTATATAGGTGGGTTCTGGAACGAAGGAGAATAAGAAAATGCCAGAGTCTCGTTTTCTTATTTAGGTGGGTTCTGGAACGAAGGAGAATAAGAACATGCCAGAGTCTCGGTTTCTTATTTAGGTGGGTTCTGGAACGAAGGAGAATAAGAAAATGCCAGAGTCTCGTTTTCTTATTTAGGTGGGTTCTGGAACGGGCCCTGGACATAGCCATATAAGAAAACGGCCTTAAGAAAACCAGACTGCCCCGACCCATCCCAGATTAAATATTCCCATAAAACCAGCCGCTATCAAAATAAGAAAACCAGTCCACCCTGGTGCCGGCTTCGCGACAGAGTCGCGCGACGGCATGCTCAAAGGGCAGCGCGCGCGTTGCGAGGGCCCCGGACCCCAGAAAGTATTTTCTTATACAGTGCTCCCGCTGTACTACTACTACTACTACTACTACAACTACTACTACTACTACTACTACTGCGACTACTACTACTACTACTACTACTACTACTACTACTACTACTACTACTAGCAGGACCAGGACTACTAGCAGGACCAGTACCAGTACCGCTCGTCGTCGTAGCAATAGCAGCAGCAGCAGCGGTACTGTACCCGTACCAGTCCCTATATTAAGGGATACAACACCCTTTCATCATAGGGACCCTCAAAAGGGTAGGGGGATTAAACAGGCCTTATTAGGTCCTTATTATGGGCATTAAGGCCCCCTACCCCCTTCCCCCCTAAGGGTCCCTATGACTTCAACATCCCAACCACGCAGCTGCCTGAAGAATCGTGACATCTGCAGCTGCAAGGTCGAAGCGAACGAAGACCGGCGGAACCAAGCCGGCCTTTAGGGTTCCTAAAAGGGATCTATAGGGATTGCTTAAAGGGATCTATAGAGATTGCTTAAAGGGAGCTATAGCCGGGTGCAGAGTTTAAGGCCGTCAGGAGCCTTTGCGGGCTAAGGCTTTATGGTCTACCCTAAGGCTCCAAAGTAGTTCCTTTTTGGGGGTTCATATATAGAATCCTATAAGGTAATCCCAAAAAGGAACTACTATGGAGCCTCTGGGTAGAGCTTAGGACTATATTAATTAGAAGAATTAGAGTTGGGTGGTGGACCTCGGGGTTTAAGGCTTTAGGGTTTAGAACCTAGGGTTGAGAATTAGAATAGGGTTTTGGGGGGTCGTTATGCAAGAACGGATACATTACGGAACCCTCAGGAAGTAGGACCAGCCATATGGGGGTTTGCGAAAACAGGGGACCCTAATACAGTACCCCAAATAGTAACATAGTAGAATCCTCGTTCTAAGGACCCCAAAACAAAGTACCCCTCTGTTTTCAAAGCTCCAATATTTCAGGGCTCTGGCCTCGGCGTCGCTTTGGCAGCTCATGTGGATCGCTTGCTCGGTGGATTGCATCAGCGGCCCGAACATGATGGGCCTGAACAGGGATCTGAATGGGTTCCTACTATAATTGTTTCCTTATTGTAATATAGCTTCTAAGTTACGATACAGTGGTTTCAAACAGGGTGACTGTAGTGCTTTCACAGTCTAAGGGCTTCGCAAAGGTTCTGGGCAACGATAAGGCGAAAAGGGTGTTCTACAAGACTAGTATACGGGGATGGGGTCCTAGGTCGTTACTATATGCAGTAGTTCATCGTGGTTGCTAAAAAAGCCGTGTTGGACTGTTGTCCCCCATCTCTTCTCTTCAGGAGATTTGCTGACCATGCAACTGTCCGAAACCGTCGCTGCGGTCATTGCTATAGCCCGCATTGTTCAAAATACATTTCGCGGTTTTGTGCTTTCGCTGGCCTTCGTGAGTCATGTCCGACAGCAGCCTGTCAGCAAACACGTGCTACTCCATTCGAATGAGGTGTTCATTGGCGCACTGGCTTACTTACAGCTTCCATATGACTCTGTGTTACGTCTACATATGCCGGTGGCATGTCAAGTTGGCTGGCGACAGCAGTGTCCACAAAACTCATCGCTTACAACTCCTACCGACCGCTCCTCTTGCCGCTGTTGCCATGCTGGTCTTCTCACTTTTGCTACTTGCAGTCTCGCCAGATCAGAACAATACATAACTGACTTACCTGCGGCTTCAATTCTACTAGATGGCCTGTTGAATGTAACGTTGATGAACCAGCCCACGTCGTCGTCTCCGATGAGAGACCAGGCCGGGGGCTGCACGTCTTCGATATCCAGGCCCTCGCAGTGTGGCTGCCTCGATACTGGGATGTCTGAAGCCTGTGTTGCATCAACGGCCAGTCTCCCATGTGCAGAAACTCGCTGGGCAAGAAGAGCAAACTTCCGGATCCACCCAGCCCATTTGTCCCAAGTCCTACTACGATGTATATCTATGCTTATACATCTATATATATATATATATATATATATATATGTATGTATGTTTTGCTAGGCCCTGCAAGGCGTGCGTCGGTATCGACTCAATCGCTCCGAAGAGAAATATGCACATATTAACATATACACGCGCACAGAAACACATATATATATATATATATATGTTTATAATATACATACATACATATGTATGTACATATGTAGAATATGTATATTACACACACCGATGCGTGGAACAAAGGCACCTGGCACAGAGGAGACAAGAAAGGGGCGCCGCTTCGGCCACCGGTGTCTCGCACACGCTGCGACCAACATCCCAGGTGCCTGTCGTGAGGCCGATCGAGCCCCCAAAAGGAGTAATGTCGGGATATACACGAGAAAGTTAACGGCTACCCACCCAGCCACTACGTAAGGAATCATTGCCCCGGCCTTAACCCTAAACCCAACCCCAAACCCTAACCCCTAGACCCTGAAACCCTAGAACCCTAAAGTGGAAGACCCAACCCTAATTGAGCCTTGATCCGAAGCCCTTTTAAGGCTAAAGCCTCCTAACCCCCAAAGTTTGGAAACCCCTGAACCCTACAGTAGAAGCCAGAAAGTTGGAATATCATTATCGTAACCCCTTTAAGGTAACTTATAGGGGATCCTACCATTAATCCATATTCCCCTTTAAGCCCACTAAACCCTAAACCAAAGGGTCCCGTTGAAGACCCAGGGGCAATTCCACCAAACGCACATGCAGGGTGTATAGGCATCCTTGCCTCAGTGCACTCAGCTTAGGTTTAGCAAGTTTAGCGTCTAGCGCTTAGGGCTTAGGGTCTGGGGTTGAGTTTTTTAATAATTCTATTTTCCTCCTGCAGATACAGAGAGAATTAGGGTTTGGGGTTTACGGTTTAGGGTTGATAGGGTTTAGGGATGCGGCTGCTGGCAACTGAAGCTGGTCTATGCCACCTTTAGGGTAAAGGCTAGGGTTGTTGCTGCAACTGCAACGGTTCATCTAAGG